ACAGAATCTTCAGCCAGACTCCTCTCTATGCTCGAGTCCTGACCACTCTACTTGCAAACTGGCTGACTTTATACCATTTATTTAACTACATTGCACCTCAATTTTGTTTCCTTTAATTGGGGTACAAGTTCAAAGTTTCTACCTCATGGTTTGGGGTAGGATTAAATGAGATAATATGTTAAAAAATATACTTATATTAGCGCCTGGGGCAATGCACATACTCCACACATTACCACTATCATCCCATTTAATTTTCCCAAGATCTCTATCAAGTAGAGTATTAGTTTGCAACCTTGGGAGCTTCCCAGGTGAAATCTGAAACTGGGTTCCATACACAGAGGCCAAGGACAGACTCAGGAAAGAGGCAGGCCATTCCAGACTGGTAGGTGGAAATTTTAATATACAAGAGAACTTACATACGACGTTTGTCTTGGGTGACCACCAGATGAGTAGATCTCCACACCTGCTCACCAGAATCTTATATGGAGACTTTAACTGGGTTCAGTCGCATATTTAGTCCAGACGGTCTCAACAACACCTTATTCTCTAAAGCTGTATCCTTGAATAGCTCTGGCTATGGGAACAGTGAGTGGAATGTATGTCCCCAGGACATGGATGGGGGTGAGGAGCCTATGATTGCCCAGGTCCAGCTTGCAGGAGGACCAGCTGTCATATCCTTTTGATGACCTTTTCCAACATAGAGATTTATATCTCCATATTATGTGGCATCTGAAGGTGAAAAAGACTGAGAAACTTGCCCAACATCATCGTGGCTCTTGATACAACTGCTCCAGTCCTCGTAGGCTGAGTAGGGGCTGATCTCCTGGAGGAAAATTGTCAGGCAATATGACAATGTCCCTTCTCTCTAGGTTGTGTGGTTGACTTTTTTTCCAAGCTGACTCCAGCTTCAATCCAGCATCCAGGCCCGCCCTCTGCAGGGGACAGGAATGTTCCCTTAGATCTTTAAAACGTAGCTGAAAGTGAGAAGAGGCAGCAATAAAGGCATTGCTGTCTATGGGCAACTCTGGGTGCAGAGAGAGACATAGGGAGCATCCTACCAATGGCTGTAGAAAACTTAAATACTCTAGGGAAGAAGGTGTATGCTAAATCACCTGTGGAACTCCAGGTAAGTTGAACATGAGTTATCACACAATATAAATGTTCCAATTTGGATCTTATATCAACCCCTGGAGACTATACCAGGTAACCTGTGCAATTTGTTCTATGAGGTTCTAAGTGTATGGACCATCGCACTGTGTATCCAGACCGACATTCCCACAGGATGCTCTGGAGGTCATAGGATGTGAGAACTTCACCATGAAGAGGAGTGTTGTTCTCACTGAGGCCTGCAGTTCCCAAATGCCTATGAAACCCGTGCGAACGTGGGAGCATGTCTTTCTCCTGTTGTGACAAAATGCAAAAAATAAAGACAACTACATTTGCATTGGTTTGTAATATTTCTATAACACCCTACAGTATAATGCAGTTGAGTTATAACCCTGGAATAGATCCATGAGAAGAAATGGACCAAATTGTTTCTTGACACTTTTCTGTTCCGTCAGATCCAGAGACCTTGGAATCCCCACCTGGATCCAGCCTCTGTTCCATAGGAATAGCCCATCTGAGTTAGCTGGTCCTGCTGCATGGCTCACTGGGAATAACCAGTCCTGCCCAGCCATTTACAAGTATGTGACCTGGAGTTACCTAACACTGCTGATTCTTAGTGGCTTAAAACTACAATGACTTACGTCTTACACCATATGCTCATTGCAGATTCCCACTGCATCACCACATTGTCCTCCCCGAGGGACGCAGGCTGGCAGAACTTCCATCTCTTGGAATCTTGCTGGTCACCATGGTCACATGAGTCATACACTGTATTTTAAAGGCTTCCACCTGTACGTGACATATGCTACTTCCCCTCATGTTTCATTGGTCAAGGCAAGTCATATGACCACACCTAACTTCAAGGGAGCAGGAAAGTATAGTCCTACAGAGCAGTTCTTGGAAGAAGGAGAGATAGAAATATTGGCAAATAGCCGTAAGGCCAAATATACCATCATTTACTTCATAACCCATTTTACTTAATGTAGCTTAGCATTTTTATTGGTTGGGACAATTTGACATCCTGATTCCGGAATGAATTGTATTAGCTGCCAAATTTTGAGATTCTATGGCATTTCCCTAAAAACTTCCTCCAGCCTGGTAGAGATCCACTGACTGGTATGTTCAGACTACATTTGCTCAATGGTTTCAAGTCCACTTTCTCCATAAGGTGATCATGAGAAATTCTATCACATTCTTTGCTGAAATTTAGACACGTTGTTTTGATATTTTGCCCTCAACTTGTTAATGTAGGCTCTCTATCAAGAAAGGAAATGAGATGGATTAGGGTGAAAATTTGATGTTCTGTAAGTTTGGGATAATATGAACCCAAGGACAATTGGTTTTTTAGCTTTTATGTAAACATAGATGCAACATTGTTTTAATAACTTCTGTTAATAAGACAAGGTAGTATATTAGTTGGACTCTTTAGCTGGGTATTTGCAGATGGTTGGAAACTGTCAGTCAAGTACTAAATCAGCCTTCAAAACCAAAAAAAAAAAAAAAAAA